AGAAGGAAATGAGGCTTAGTTAGGAACAAGAGGTTAAGAAAGATTTTACCGAGGCAGGGAACAAACTCCCAGGAGGGAAGGGAGACAGAGAAAAGGATGGGGCAGGAGCCTCCAGGCGGTTCTGAGACCCAATGAGTTAGGTGAGTCAGGTCAGGGAACTCGCAGCTTGTTGGAGAGGTGGTGGGAGTTATATAGGGTCGGAGCTAAGGAAGTGTATGTAAACAGAAGGGAGAATCTTTATTACTTTATTGCTTGCAGCTGCAGGGCCTTGTCAGGATGTGATTCGTGGGAGGTTATCTTGTTGTTTGCAGACCTGCTCTTTCCAGGTTGAAGACCTGCTGGGGAAGGGGCTAGGCAGATCACCCTGGGAAGATAAATAGCTTCCTGAGGTGCTGGTGCAGGAGTTGCATAGTTCAATAGGTCCTGTGGACCCAGAGAAGAGGTGGGGGCTGCCCGGTCTGGACCTGGCCCAAACATTCCAAACCTCTTAATATTGGAAATGGGGTGACAGTTTCTGTCATAACTGCTTCCTGCTGAGATAGGACGAAGAAGGGGGGGATAAAGAGTTGGAAGGTTCAGGGGCCAGGTTGGTTGGCAGTGGGATGTAAGTGTGGAGAAGAAGCTGATTAAAGGTCAGGTTGGAGATACTTTTCATTCATTCTGTTAGGTAGGCTAGTGTAGGGATGGAACATCCATTAATGCATGCCCAGTGGTCCGAGCCACGGAAACAAAGGAGTGAAACTCTTCACATGCTCAGAGGTTCAGGCTTCCTGTAGGTCGCGTGGGTGGGTGCAGCACCTGGATTGGCCCACCTAGGCCAGGTGAATTCAATTCAGCCAATGGGGTCAACCAGGGGTCATCTTCCCCGCCTCCCGTGGAATCATTGAAAAGGCAGGAGCCCGGAATCGACCGGAACTCTGCCAGCAGCTTCCAGGCAGGCTGCATGTTTGGGAGGAGTCCTATGGGTGCCTGTGTAAATCTGAAACTTCTTCTAACGTTCATAAAACTCACTTGGATCACAAACCAGGCTTCGGCGTGAATTCTTTCTCGCACAGAGCCAAGGACTGAGGTATATCTATCCCCAGAGAAATCTAACAGTTCCTGCAAGAATCTAAACATACAAAGAGCTAAATGCAAAAGTACACAGATTATTATCAGAGGCCCAATGAGGGGCATAACCCAGGCCATGGCAGCATTTTGAAACCATGACAAGCTGGTGGTGCTCCACTGACGTTTCCTGATCTCAGCGGCCATGGTGTGGAGTGCCTTAACATTTTGTTTAAATATACCCGATTCATTAATATAATAACAACATTCTTCATTTAGAAACATGCATGTTCCTCCCTTATCCTCTGTGAGTAAGTCAAGAGCTCGGTGATTTTGCAGGGTGACTTGTCCTAAAGATGTTAACTGCCTTTAGATTTGGAGGGAGACAAGAGGTGGACTCCATAGCAAATTGTATTTTGTCATTAAAGGTCTGAGCTTGAATAATAGTTTGTCCTATTGCTCCTCCCGACATCCCAGCTGTTTATGGTGTGTAAAAGGGTTGTACTTTAAGGATAGTGAAGTGGAGAATTGGAGCCAGGCTGGCAGGGTTAGCAGTGAGGTTTCTGGCAGTAGCATCTGCTTATTGTTGTCCTGTGTGACAAGAGAGTTATCAGTTTGATGTTCTTTGCAATGGATGACGGCTACTTTTGTTGGCAGCTGAAGAGCTTGTAGGAGATTAACTATTAGTTTACCATTTACTATGGGGGACCCTTTGGTAGTCAGAAAATCCCCGCTCCTCCCAGATGGTGGCGTGACAGTGAGCTATGAGGAACGCATATTTAGAGTCAGAATATATACATTAGCCATTTTTTCCTTTAGCTAAATGGAGAGCTCAAGTGAGAGCAGCAAGCTTTGCCTTTTGAGAAGCAATTTTTATTGGGAGGCATGCAGCTTTCCAGACTCGGTCAAGTGAGGGACAGCATATGCAGCCTGCCATTGCCCCTGGGCATCCACGACAGAACTGCCATCAACAAACAAAGTGAGATTGGGTTAGGATATGGCTGATCTGAGAGTTCGGGTTGGAGCAGTGTTAGTTCCTCAACTGCTTGGGTCAGGAGTGACTGCTAAGTTCCAGCAAGTCAGGAGCTAAGGCAAGAGGGTTGCTGGGTTTAAAGAGTGAGCCTGGCACAGAATTATGTTAGGGTTTTCGACAAACATGAGATGGAGTTCCTGCAAACGGCTTGGAGAGAGCAAAGACCGGGCTGTGTGTGAGAGGAGGTCCTGCAGGCTGTGGGTGGACAACGTCCCCAGTGTTAACTTTAGGGCTTCTTTGGTGAGGGCAGTGGCTGCCGCTAGGGCCTGGAGGCAGGGTTGCCAACCTCTGACTGTCATGTCTAGTTGCTTAGACAAACAAGCTATAGGAGATAGAGCAGGCCCCAGGGGCTGAGCCAGGACTCTGACTGCTATACCTTGTTTTCCATCTGTGTAGAGTAAAAAAGGTTTGGCAGACTTAGGGGTGGGGGTGAAGGAGGGCATGTCGGAGTTTGTTAAAGGAAGCTTTGACTAACTGGGGAGAGTGTAGGGGCCAACAGGAGTGGCCTTGTTTTTCTGTCCCTTCCCCATGAACTATCAGGGGAACTATCAGCGTGAAGTCCTTTACATTTCTCCCACTGTAATCTTTCTTACCGTGAACACATTCACTTCTTTCTCATCAACTTCTCGGCAAACAACTTTCCATAACTTTCAAACTTCATATTCTGGCACAGCCAGACATTCTATAATAAGTTATCCAACTCTTTTTCCAATTATTTGCAACTTACTCTGACCTTCTGAAACTTACTGTTTCCATCTAGACTTCAACATTCACTAAAATGAAAATTGTATTACCTAAGTGTCAGCAAAGGGTTAAAGGTCTGTTGGGAGTCCCTTCTGCTGCTTTGCATAAAGGCTGCTGAGACCACCATCGGGGAGTTTAATGATTTAGTTATAAGGTAAGGTGACCAGACATCCCATTTTTGGCGGGACAGTCCCAATTTTTGGCGTTTTAAAAAAAAGTCACGATTTTTAGAAAGATTGCACGACAAGCTAGGGAACAGTCTATTTGGTCATAGACCAAATTTTTAATCAAGAACACCCCCACCCCCCACCCTGTCAATGGTGTCCGCTTTAAATCTGGTCACCTTATTGTAAGGGAGAAATTGGGGACTTAATGTAAAGTACTTGTTCACTCAAAGTCAGTGGTCAGAGGTTCTTTATGACAGTGTTTATTTAGAGTTAAACTCGGGATGGTGAGGGTGGGGCTCAGGCTTAAACAGCAGCAGAAGGAGATACGTGGGTCTTGGAGGGAGAGAGAAGTAAAGGGGAGTTGGGCTGTGTCTGCTTTAGAACTGTTTTAGGAGGGTCTGCAGGTAAAGACAAACGAATGCTGAGAAGCTGGGTTGAGGGGATGGTGAGAAAGGTATAGTGGAGGGGGAATGGGGGACAAGAGTATAGGGGTCGGGAACTACTGGGTGTATGAGGATGACAGCTTCGTTAATGAGGCGCAGGTCCTGGACCAAGCGATCAGTACCATTTGGTTTCTCACTGCTAAGATTGGAGCATTGCAGGGAGAGTGGGTAGGAGTAATGAGGTTGTTAGAAAGGAGGCATTGTATGATGGGTTAACATCGGGACGCAAGGAGGTCTGTAGGGCCAGTTTTTCCAGGTCGGGAGAAAGAAGAGGAAGGAGCAGAGGTCCTTGAGACCAGAAGTAAGGTGTAAGGAGGTGCCTAACTCATTTAAAATGTCTCTTCCCAACAGAGGGACCGGGCACGAAGGGATTATAAGGAAGGAATGAGTAAAGGGCTAGCACACCTGAGGCAGGTAGGCTTGCCATCAGTATCCATGACCGAGATTGAGGAAGGACTGCCTAACCCTGAAAATGAGGGCAGGTCAGAAAAGACAGCTTCTGTGTGAGAAGGAAATTTACTCACCCGATACCTTGAGCAATACCCCAGGCTTGCGAGGGTGATGTGGATCCAGTCAGGGTCTCTGAGTTCGGCCAATCCCAGCAGGGCCAAAGGCTGGTCAGGAATTGGAAGGACAGTCCCCCACGTGGAGACGCAAAGGGCCTGTCGCTTTTCCAAGGACAGTTGGACTTCCAGCGTCCGCTTTGACCCCACGCGGGGTTTGGTTGGAGCTTCAGGCCTGGGGCACTTCTGTGACCAGTGCCCTTCTCCGCACTTGAAGCAGGCACCAGGTGGTGGTCATTGTTTCCATGCACCCTTGCCCCAGCTGTCCTTTTGGGGCCTCAGGGATCGCTGGCCACAGGGCTGCTACTAAGGCTTGGGTTTGAAAAGTTACCTTCTGCCGGAACCAGGCATCAGGGGCTGCCTCTGCCTGCTCCTCACGGGTGTTAAATCCTTAAATGCCATATTCGCTAAATCTCGGACTGGGGTTTGAGGGCTTTTTCCCACTTTTAAAACTTTTAATGTAAAGCATCAGTGGCTGACTGTGTTATAAAGTGTGTGGCCAAAACATTAGCTCCTGCTGGGGAGTGGGATTTAACCTAGCATATTGGGTTAAGGCTTCAGTTAGGCGTGAGAGAAAAGCTGCAGGGTCTTTATTTGGCTGTTGAATACTTTTTCGCAGCTTGTCAAAATTAACTGCTTTGTGGGAGATGGCTTGCAAGCCAGTCAGCAAACATCGTATGCAGTCTTGGCTAGCTCTGCCTTCCCATCCAGCTTGGGTATCTGTTCAGTCCAAGCCGGCTCTTCTCCAGGAACTACCTGTCGTCCTATGGGCATGGTGGCATCGGTGAGATGGACCTGGTCCGCGTGCTGTAAAACCCTGTAAAAGCCCGCTCCCGCTCATCAGGGGTGAGGGTAGAAGTGAGGACTATGTAGAGATTGTGCCAAGTTGAGTCAGAGGCTTGGGTAAGGCATCGGAACGCTTTAATATAGGTAGTGGGATCATTAGAAAAGGTTCCCAAGCGTTATTTTATTTGGGAGAAATCTGTGAGGGAGAACGGTGCACGGACCCTGACAGGGTCTTCCACCCCAGCCACTTTCCAGAGTGGGCAAACGTGGTGCAACCTGGTGTGGGAAGAAACAGGGAAGGATGAGGGGACAGGAGAGGGTTGGGGAGGCTGAGGTTGAGGGAGCTGCAGTTGAGGAGGTTGAAGGGGTTGGGGGAGTGAGTGGGGCTGGAGGTGAGGGGGTTATGAAGACTGATGGGGGTGGAGTAGGCTCCGGGTTTTCAGGAGATGGTAAAGAGTAGGGCAGAAGGGAGGGACAAGGCCTCCAGGGAGCCAGAAGGGGCGAGGTTGGTTCCTGTGGCGGTGGGGGTAACGGGAGTTTGGAAGAGGCCACCGCAGGTGATGGGGCCAGGTGGACTTGGCCTGGGTGGCAGGAGGGACACAAACAAGGACAATAGCGGAGGGAGAAGGACACCTGAACGTACTGAACCTTGGACCATTTTTGGGTTTGGTGACAGAAGTTGTCAAGGTCTCGGAGAATATTGAAATCTGGCCAGCATGACCCATTGTCCAATTGTTCCTGTGGCCACACTTGGTTACAGAAAAGACCAGATGCTTAGGGCGCCTGTCTGGAGCCAGGCCCAGTTTAGTGAGATTGGCTAGCAGGCTCCCTAGGGGCTGTCCCTGGCTGACCTAGAGAGAGTGCTTCCCATAGCGTCTTAAACTTCAGGGGGTTCGGGCAAAGGAGAAGGCCGTCTCCTGGTCCCTGTCCGCACCCATCAGTCAGGAGGTGGCCCAGTAACCCTGAGAGGCCTCCTGGTCAGAGCTAGGGGTCCAGTGGGAGAGTCCTGGACTCCTCGGAACAGGAAGGTTCCCTGGCACAGGCCTGCGGCTTTCACCTACAGACAGGGACCTTGGATGAGTGAAAGACACCTCGGGGAGCTGAGGAGGAGAGGGAGCTAGCTTTGCGGCCGGCGAATCAAGGGAGGTCCGAGGCCTTGCTCAGGGTCAGGCAGGGAGGGAGAGTGGAATTTTAGAGAAAGCACTGCAGAGCTGCGAGTACGCAGCATATGAACAAGTAAGCGACGCTCAGACTCCCCCTCTGCGCTCTGGTCCAGTCTGAAGGTGCGGGGACCACCCGGCCTCGTGCCAACAGTCCTGTCAGTGGCAGGGATCCCAGGAAGTAAACACAGAGGCAAAGGGCTGGAGGCCGCAAGAGAGGGAAGATAGACACACAGAGAAAGGTGGAAGTGAGAAATTGACCTTACCGTCGCACCCTTCGCGGGGAAAGGCAGTTATTGCCAGCTCCCTTTGGGACTAGGATGCCAGCATAGTTACCCTGCCCTGAGCCGTATGGACCCTAACGTTCCCGTAGGAGTTTGCTGGTGCTCAGTGTCCAGAAAGACAAGCAAGACAAGCAAGACAGAACGGACATGCACAGAAATACAGACCAGAGAAGCGCTCCCGCAGACAGGCCACAGAGGTCTGTGGAAGCAGAGGATGGGGCTGTGCACCGGCCAGAGAGAGGCCAGGGCAGCACAGAGGCCCCTCCTGCGGCTCCCGGTCTTTTCGGTACCAAGAGGAGAGGTTGGAGACGGAGGCACAGAAGGAGATGAGGCTTAGTCAGGAACAAGAGGTTAAGAAAGAACTCCCAGGAGGGAAGGGAGACAGAGAAAGGGATGGGGCAGGAGCCTCCGGGCGGTTCGGAGACCAGTGAGTTAGGTGAGTCAGGTCAGGGAACTGGCAGCTTGTCCCGGAGAGGCAGTGCGAGTTTTATAGGTTCTGAGCTAAGGAAGTGTATGCTAACAGAAGGGAGAATCTTTATTACTTGCAGCTGCAGGGCCTTGAGTCAGGATGCGATTCCTGGGAGGTTATCTGATTTGCAGACCTGCTCTTTGGAGGTTGAAGACCTGCTGGGGAAGGGGCTAGGCAGATCGGCCTGGGAAGATAAATAGCTTCCTGGGGTGCTGGGGCAGGAGTTGCATAGCTCAATAGGTCTTGAGGAGCCAGAGAAGAGGTAGGGGCTGCCCGGTTTGGACTGGCCCAGTTTTCTGTTGTTCTTCCCCCTGGAGAGGGATGTATGGTTATGTGTCCATCATTGCGATTGGTTCCCCGTTTCTCCCTTCCTCTCCACCCTCTTCCTCCTACCCTTCTGGTATCTGTATTCCCACTCCTGTTCCTGGATTCTGTGTGTTGTGAGCTCTTCAGTAGAAAGCCTGTCCCTCAAGGCACTGGTGGTTTCAAACTGCTGATCTTTCCGTTAGCAGCCCAGCGAGTGACACTGTGCCACCTGGGATCCTGGGACCATGGCCACAGGTGGCAATTAAGCACTTGAAGACAACATACAAGGGGACATAGGTCTCAACCCATGAGACCCACTTCTGAGTCACCCAGAGGCTCACCCTGGAAAAGGGCAGGTGCTCTGGATTGGAGCCAGGGTCTAGCAGAGCCACCCTTGCCCTCTCCTCATGGGTCAGAAACTCTCCCTCCCCTCCTTCCCCAGGTCTCCCTGAGGATGAACAGAGGAGACCCAGGCAGCAAGGGGAGCCTCTCAGAACCCTCTGGGTCTCCTGTCCCTACAGAGAAACAGCTACCTCACAGCCAGGTGCCCATAGAACTTCAACTGTGACCACGTCCCAGAACCAGAGCCTGGGCAGGTGTGTTGTGCATGGGTGCCGGTGCCAGCATTGAGGCCGAGTGTGACAGCCGGGGGGGTCTCTCTGCAGAGGAGAGCCGCTATCCTTGGGCCATGAGAAGGCCATGTTTGCTTGCTTCTTTCCATTTGCATTTTCTCAAATCGTTTCCTCCATCCTCTTCTGGGGTCTGGTTCATGGAAGGACGAGTCACATTCGGTGAAATTCACCCATCTCAGTGCAGGGATCTAGGAGCTTTGACAAGCCCGTGGGCAAGCATGACCATGCCCTGGGCCCTGACCCTTGGTTCTCTCCAGGACATTCCCTCTGTCCCTGTTGCCAACTCCACCTCCACCCCACCTCACACACAGGTGATCTGTTTTCTGTCCGTCATCTGACCTTTCTCAGATGCTGCAAACATGGAATCACACACTCCGTGGTCTTGGGGGCT